CAACTACACCATGTGACCAGAGAACTTTCCAGGTGTGTTTGGAAGTCTATCAAAGACTCCCTCATCTCTTCCTCTTTCCCTCTTCCTGCTCCATCATGATGGTGAGTGTAAGCTGTGCTAAGCTGCTCCTCTTCTTGAAACTTTCCTGTAGTTAGTTGGGGTTTAGGTTTCGGCTTAGGGTTATACTGCATGTCTGTATGTTTAAAAGCAACCTTAAATGTAATTAGTAAAGGATTATCTCATTTTTGTTAAAATTAGTTTCATAGAGACCCAAGAAGGAATGACACATTGAGGAGGGGACAAACATGTTTTCTGCTGTTCTGGAAACTAGAGACCTCATCACATGGATTAGGTCCAGCGTTACAATTCACCAGCCTCTGTGGCGAATTGGGGCAGCAGTAGGACAATCCTGGCTGAAGGCTGATGCTTCCCCATCATGTGTGGGGAGATGTTACCACATAGCTTAATTTCATGGTAGCCCCGTTGTTCCTAATGGAATATAGGGAGGCTACCACGTTGGTGGCAAAGTGTCCCAGTACTCTGTTGCCCCAATTCACCCACAGTGCCCCATCGGAAATCAGCCTACATTGTCTGATGGGTGGCATGGGGCTCTGTCAGTAAACTGGGGCAGAAGCATCCTAGGACACTTTTTTTCATATGTGATGATGTTGTAGGACTCTGAACAATGGGGTTACATTGCAGGAAAACCGATTCCACCTAAACATTAGGAAAAACTTCTTGATGGTAAAAACTGTTCAGCAGTGGAATATGCTGCCTCAGAGCATGGCTGAGACTTCTTCTTTGGAAGTTTTTAAGCAGAGGCTGGATGGCCATCTGTTGGGGATGCTTTGATTCTGTGTTCCTGCATGGCAGAATGGAGTTGGACTAAATGGCCTCGGTGGTCTCTTCCAACAATGATTCTAAGAGATTGAGCTCTTTCCCCTGGAGAACTCTGCTAAAGGAGGTTGAGTCTTAACTGAACCAGCTTTCCTAGAAAAAGGTCTAAATCCAGGAATGTGCTAATCCAATGCAAACTTTGGTTCAATTCTAGTGACGACAAACATGTGGAAAACACAATCTGTTTTAAAGATATAACCCAGGTTCCTGATACAAGATATGAATCCAGCTAAAATCAGTCCTAAATAAGTGCACAATTCAATGTATGCCTGTATATAAATCAGGTATAGGCAAACTTGGGCTCTCCGGGTGTTTTGGACTTCAACTCCCATAATTCCCAACAGCCTACCAGCTGTTAGGAATTGTGGGAGTTGAAGTCCAAGACACCCAGAGAGCCCAAGTTTGTCCATGCCTGATATAAATCCTTTCCTATTGCATTTTGTACACAATAGATGGTTACTTAAATACATTGGCCTGAATTCTTTTGTTAATCTTAATTAAAGCACACTCATTTGATCATTGGGATTTATTTACATGCTGATTTACCATTTGACCTTTGGTTCTATGGTTCATCTCTAATTAAGTCTAATCAAAAGAGTTTATGCCACTACATTTAGTGTGACTTACTAAAAAGGACATTAAGAATTATAACTCATGTTCTTTTTTAATTATTCATGACTAATTTTTCCATTGATTTCAGCAGATCATACTATGTTCAACTGGGCAGATGATATCATATTTATGTGATCATAATCTTAATACCAGTTTTCATTCATTTCTGGAACCAATTTTGCTTATAATTATATTTGCAAAAATAGGTGTCCTGAGGTATGGTAAAATCTCATGTCAGATTCAGTTTAGGGCAAGGATAGGAATATGTGGTCCTCCAAATTTTTTTAGACTGCAACTTGCAGCATTCTTCACTATTGACTTTACTGATTGCTGAACACTATAGTCCAGCATTTCTCAACCTGGGAGTCGGGATCCCAGAGGGGTCATGAATGGGTGCCAGGTCGCCAAAGACCATCAGAAAACACAGTATTATCTGTTGCTCATGGGGGTTCTGTGTGGGAAGTTTGGCCCAATTCTATCATTGGTGGGATTCAGAATGCTCTTGGATTGTAGGTAAACTATAAATACCAGCAAATACAACTCCCAAATGTCAAGGTCTATTTTCCCCAAACTCCACGTTTGGACATATTGAGTATTCATGCCAAGTTTGGTCCAGATCCATCATTGTTTGAGTCCACAGTGCTCTCTGGATATAGGTGAACTACAACTTCAAAACTCAAGGTCAATGCCCACCAAACTCTTCCAGTATTTTCTGTTGGTCGTGGGAATTCTGTTTGTCAAGTTTGGTTCAGTTCCATTGTTGGTGGAGTTTGGAATGTTCTTTGATTGTAGGTTAATTACAAATAACATTAACTACAACTCCCAAATGACAAAATCAATCCCCTACAACCCCACCAGTATTCAAATTTGGGTGTATCGGATATTTGTGCCAAATATGGTCCAGGAAAATAATCCTGCATATCAGATATTTACATTATAATTCATAACAGTAGCAAAATTACAGTTATGAACTAGCCACGAAAATAATTTTATGGTTGGGGGTCATCACAACATGAGGTTACTATATTAAGGGGTCGTGGAATTAGGAAGGTTGAGAAACACTGCTGTAGTCTAATAACATCTGGGAAGGCACATGAATGTCATCCCATCTTTAGTCGTAAATTGTTTCAGATTTCAGAATACTTGTTTTAGGGACTACAGCTTCCACAACATCCCACAACTAGTACTGGTAGAGGAACTGGGGGGAGTTGTAATCTAACATACATTGTTCCCAAGTTGTTCCCAAGTTTAGTTTTGTTTGTTTGTTTGTTTATAAAAGAAAGCTTTCAGGAAGCAAATAATGAAAGCTGAAAAGAACAGGTTGCAGCCTGCATGCTGGAACACCTACTGTCCCTTGTCATAATTGCCTCTGGTCTACACAATGCCATGGATATTGTTGAGTTGTTTTTTTCCTTGTAGGACCAGGGACACAGCCCCATCTGAATGGTGCCAGTGCTACAGTGCGCAGTCCAAGGAGGGCCCCCACTTTGTTTACATCTCTTGTCACTGACAATTGTAGCAGGCTTCCTCCCAGCACACATACTCAGAAAACCTGCCTTCCTTTTTGCTCTACACTTCCTCCTACCCGCCTTAATGGTGATGTTTGGTAATCCCCTCCAGCTGGTAACCAGACAAGTAGCAGTTCCCTTGAGCAAGCTCCGGTTTCTTATGGTGAACAGAGCATGCAAAACTGAATGTGCCTATGAGTATTGCACATTTTGATGCAGGGAGTCGTTCAAAGTCCCTCTGTTGTGTGTTTTCTAGCTGTCGCATCCTGTGTCACCAGCTGAAGAAGTGAGGGGTGTTTCTTTGCTGCAGCACACCAACACACAAGAGTTGAACCTGAAAACAGAATTAGGCATTTCAGAAGATGGCACTTTTGAAGTCTTCTCAGTGCAAGCAGTGCCGAGCATTAGTATAGTTGTGAGCACATGCAGAGATAGGAAAAGTTGGGCTGCTATGAGTTTTCCAGGCTGTAGGACCATGTTCAAGAAGCATTCTCTCCTGATGATTATCCCACATCAATGTTATCAGATATATATCAGAGAATATGTATATATATATACACACACATACATACACACACACACACACACTAGTGCCAGCAGGACTGAAGACCGACAGGTAGCAGGTTCGAATCTGGGGAGAGCACGGATGATCTCCCTCTGTCAGCTCCGGCTCCCGATGCAGGGACATGAGAGAATCCTCCCACAAGGATGGTAAAAACTTCAAAACATCATCTGGGCATCCCCTAGGCAACGTCTTTGCAGATGGCCAAGAGACTTGTAGTTTCTCAAGTCACTCCTGACACTCACACAAAAAGAGGTTATAGCAGATATATCAGAAGTTGAGGATGCCTGTCATAGATGTGGCTGAAACATCAGGAGAGAATGCTTCTGGAACATGGCCATACAGCCTGGAAAACTCACAGCAACCAGTGATTCCGGCCATGAAAACCTTCAACAACACTTAGGAAAAGTTACTTTTGGGAGTGACAGTGCCCAGAATCCTCAGCCAATGGCCATCAGCATAGCCCTGATGCTTAGAGCCACACATAAAAAGACTGTATTTAGCAAAGTGTAAAACAAAGATGGAAGCCAGTACTAGTATCCTTCAGTTAATGAGCTGTCTCTCTCCATATATGGGCTTCCATCTGCATTTGCAGTTTAGACTTCTGCAGATTTGATGGCATCTGGATCATATGTATCATTGAAGGCTTTCATGGCCGGAATCACTGAGTTGTTGTAGGTTTTTTGGGCTATATGGCCATGTTCTAGAAGCATTCTTTCCTGACATTTCATCCATATCTATGGCAGGCATTCTCATAGTTTGTGAGGTCTGTTGGAAACTAGGAAAATTGTGGAAGGTCCAGGGTGGGAGAAAGAACATTTTCAGCAGAAAGGAAGAAACCATGAATATGAACAAAATCTGGCTACCAGTACTGAAAAACTCTAAAATTATAACAGCAAATAAAGAACAACACTCAAACACAGGGGAACTCCAGACAAGAAACAACCAGGGACAGCTAATCACCTCTCAACAAAAGATTCCCCCAGGCAGTGACAAGCTACATCTAAAAACTGTCAGGCCATCAAATGCTAATCGAGGTGGCCAATTGAAACATTCACACCTAGCTCCAACAGACAAGAGTTCTTTCTCCCCCCCTGGACTTTCCACAGATATATAAACCCAGTTTCCCTAGTTTCCAACAGACCTCACAATCTCTGAGGATGCTTGCCATAGAGGCAGGCAAAACGTCAGGAGAGACTGCTTCTGGAACATGGCCACACAGCCCGGAAAGCACACAACAACCCCTTGGGGCCTTCCTTCCGAATAGACACGCCCCGGAGTGCGCTGTAAACCGACCGGATTTCTCGCGAAGGTGCCGTGAACTCCACCCTCCCCACGAGGGTTTTGAAAGGGCCAAACTCTGATGGTGGACCTTGGGTTGACTTGAGGGCGGGCACTAGCTTGGGAAGGGCTTGCTCTAGACCGGCAAACCTGGTCGCAAGTCCCGGAGGAAGGCGGCACAGTTCCGCGCGCCGGGCTGGCCTTAGGGGGCGGGGCTTGTGAGGAGAGGCCACGCCCCCTCCCTTCCCAATGGGTCAGTTCCTGCCGGCGCGGCGATGGCAAGCTTGAGCAGCCGGCTGCCGGAGCCAGAGAAGGAGCGAGAAGGAGCCGCCCCTTGACTCCCGCCCAGACTGCGGCCGAGGATGGGCCCGGAGAGGAGGGCACGCAGGTAGGCGGAAGGGTGCTTGGCGAGCAGGCAAGGGTAGGCAAGGGGCTGCCTCCCGCCCTGGCTGGCTTGGAATGCCTCCACAGCCTCAAGGCACTACTAGAGCCCTTCTGACTTCTGGAAGCTAAGCAGGGTCAGCCTGGTTCGTCCTAGGGTGGGAGACCGCTCCGCTCATACCGGCTGCTTCAAGTTACATTTCAGAGAAAGGACAGTCACCTGTGAGGATTCCCCCAGGCAGGAAGCAGCCAGGCTTTGAAGCTGCAAGGCCATTCAGTGCTAATGCAACATTCACACTTGCCTCAAGCAGACAAGAATTCTTTCTCCCACCCTGGACATTATTCCACAGATATATAAACCTCACTTGCCTAGTTTCCAACACACCTCACAACCTCTGAGGATGCCTGGCATAGATGTGGTTAAACGTCAGGAGAGAATGCTTCTGGAACATGGTCATATAGCAATCCACCTCTGAGGATTCCTTGCCCAGTGGGATCCATAGGGCTACCTGAAAGCATTGCCTTTTGAGTCTGTTTTTGCCTCCCTTGTTAGTTTTCCAGACCCTATATTTGCACCTCTGTGAACCTGCCTGGTGCCCATACTGGAGGACTACTAGAGATCTTGCAAGCTTTCCAAAAGTAGCATCCTTGTCAGTCAGTGTTTACTTTTTAGATCTGTTTAGCTCCGAAGGGGGAAGGCGGAGTCATTCTGCAGCAGGAGGCCACTCTCCAAGTACAGCAATGCTCTCAGATTGGTGGCCTTCCAGGTGTTTTGGACTTCCCTTCCAAGAATTCCAGTTATTGGACAAGCTGGATAGGACTTGGAGGCCCAAACACCTGGAGGGCCACAAGTGTGATACTTCTGAACTACAGGAACCCTGATTCAACTCCATCTTCTGGCTGGATTCTGAGATTCCAAGCCCTTCCCCACAAGCTTCCTGATCTACTGCACAGCCTGTTGTTGTTGTTGTTGTTGTTGCTGTTGCTTTATAGGGTGTGTTATATCACAGGGTTGTCTTGAAAAGATTTGTTCAGGGGGAGTTTGCCTGTTCCCACTTCTGAGGCTGAGAGTGTGTGACTTGCTCAAGGTCACCCAGTGGCTTTCCACAGCTGAGCAGCAATTCGAACCCTGGTCTCCAAGAGTCCAACGCTGAAACCACTACACCGCGCACAGCCCATAATTGCCAGAGGAGGGGGGATTCCCAAGATGATGGTTTGCGGGAGTCAAAGTTTGTCCTAGTGGCACAACCTCTGTTTTTTTTTTCCAGCCCCCCCTCCCCCTCCTTCAATGGCAACCTGCTCACAGCCTTGTGCAGGTTCTGCTTGGCCTTTTCCAACTTCCTCTTCTAGCTGCCTTTTCCTCCCTTTCTTAACATCTTGCAAAATCACTTCACAACATAGTGCTTCTGGAAGAAAGTAAATACAGAGTGGATTCTAAAATGCAAAAACATGAGCCAACTATACAAGAAAAAAATGGGGAGGGATGGAGAAATCTAGGCTGGAGTGCCTGCACATTTTGAGAAACAATGTATTGAAGAGCCAGTGGTGGCCCTTCCATTAGACAGAGTAAGGAAGAAGGTATGTACTGGGTGGATACTGGGTAGAAAGGGTTTGTGGACAGAGCATGGGGAAGCCATGCTGTGAAGCTAGCTTGCTGCTATTTATTTATTTATTTCCAATATTTCTACCCCATCCTTCTCAACCCCCGAAGGGGGACTCAGGGCGGCTTACAATAGCAGCAATTTGATACACACAACATACAACATACAGAATACATTACAACAACATTATTCAAGGAATAAAACATTAGATTATAATATTTTTAAAATTATTATTCATCAAGTAGCCAGATCCAGATCTGATTTAGCAGCCTGCTACAGGAGGAAAATATGCTTTCACAAATGTCAACTTCAGCTGCCACTCAGAACAGATTCTGTCCTTAGAAATGTCTCATGCCAGTCCTGTGGAGTAGTACATGTTTACATTTGGCCTCCCTTTTCATGACAAATATACACCATGAAGGTGGTGGTTTGTGATCCCATTCAGTGTGTGCCCCAAGTCCCATAACCTCTTTGAACCATAGGTAGCAAAGACACCTGCTTTCAGACCACACCTGGAATCACATTGTGTCCAATTCTGGGTACTGCAATTGAAGGGAGATGTTGACAAGCTGGAAAGTGTCCAGAGGAGGGCGACTAAAATGATCAAGGGTCTGGAGAACAAGCCCTATGAGGAGTGGCTTAAAGAGTTGGGCATGTTTAGCCTGTAGAAGAGATGGCTGAGAGGAGACATGATGATGGCCATGTATAAAGATGTGAGGGGAAGTCATAGGGAGGGGGGGAGCAAGCTTGTTTTCTGCTGCTCCAGAGACTAGGACACAGAACAATGGCTTCAAACTACAGGAAAGAAGATTCCACCTGAATATTAGGAAGAACTTCCTGACTGTGAGAGCAGTTCAACAGTAGAACTTTCTAACAGGAAGTGTGGTGGAGGCTCCTTCTTTGGAGGCTTTTAAACAGAGGCTGGATGGCCATCTGTTGGGGGTGCTTTGAATGCGATTTTCCTGCTGCTTGGCAGGGGGTTGGACAGGATGGCCCATGAGGTCTCTTCCAACTCTATGATTCTGCCTGTGTCACAGTCCTTGGAAGATAAAGGTGCAGATAAATAATGGTTAGATAGCTACCTGCTGCTGAACATTTGTCCTTATGGTAAGGAGGAAATGCTTTCTGAACCTTTACCATGAAGGATGTGGTTAGGTTTGTCATCCTAGCTCCCCTCTCCTCCCAGCTCACAATAAGGTGCCCCTTTGTATTGTGCTAATACTGAAGATTAATGTGGAAATCAGGCTTGTGAATGAAGTCATTGTGCTTTGGTAGTAAAAAAAGATTACAGAAATACCATTGATTTGTGTTTTATGAGCCAAATTTTCTCCAGGATACTCTCTCTTAGGAAGTTGCAAAACGTTAATGCAAGCTTTAGTTGTTTCTGGTCACAAAAGGGTTTGTTTTCATGCCATCTGCGTTGTCTTTTCTTAGATTTGAAACTTCTCTGTGCTGATAAGGACTGCAGATCTTGATATGAAATGTGGTTCTGGCATTTCAGTCATTTTGCTTTGTTTAGCAGTGCTACAAAATGTTTTGACGGATTTTAGAGATTGTGTATTTATGATGTAATGAGACTTTACATACCAGGGATTCTTCTCCTGTGGTCAACCCCTGGTTTCCACTTCTTCATATCTCTTTCAAGGTTGAGCATGCCAGAGAAGCTCTTTTCCTGAAGCTAACAGCATTGACAAATCTGTTTGGTCCTTCTGAAGATGGAGGCAAATTCATGTCTTCATATTCATATTTACTGTTTGCCTCCCACCCAGACAATTTTACAAGGGGAGTAGGAACATTCATGGAAGATGAGACCACGAACAGATATCAGCCATGCAACTGATACATACAATTGTAGTGCTTCTCATCTAGTCTCATCTAGTACTATACACCAGAAGGGACTTGCAGTTTCTCAAATCGCTCCTGACACACAAAAAAAATCTAGTCTGCCAGAGCTGCGCAGTTGCAATGGGTTAAACCCTTGTGCTGGCTGAACTGCTGATCTGAAGGTTGGCGGTTCGAATCTGCAAGACGGAATGAGCTTCCGCCTGTCAGCTACAGCTTTCCTTGTAGGGACATGAGAGAAGCCTCCTACAGAATGTTAACACATCCAGATGTCTCCATGGCAACATCTTTGCAGAAGGCCAGTTTTCTCACACCAGAAGCAACCTGCAGTTTCTGAAGCCGCTTCTGACACGATAAAAACAAATCCACTCTGCTCCATACACGCAGGTTCTTTGGGGTACTGCTGAATAAACTGTGGGTCCTGGCCCCAAATGGACCCTCTACTCAATGTTGGGGTCCCAGAAGATTTAGCAACAGTAAAACTTTTCTGAACACCAACTGGTGGCTGGTTTAGACATTTATATGAATCTGTTGTGCGGCGTTTACTGTGGACTGGACTTAATAGAGTCAGTGGTTCCGAACCTTTGGTTCTCCAGGTGTTTGGGACTTCAACTCCCAGACATGTCAGCCAGTTTGGGGAACTGTCAGGAATTCTGGGAGCTGAAGTCTAAAACACCTGGAGAACAAAAGGCTGGGAACCACTGCTACAGAAGATGCTTCTGTATATTTTATAACAAGGAAAATCAGCCTGTTTAGTAAGCCTTGCAAATGCTGATTTGTTATCAGCAAATATTTTATACCTATTTTATATCCCTATATCCAGAGTTGAGGGGAAATTTGTCAGATGGAAAGGGATCCAAAGTGGAAAAGTTTCAGAAGCCCTGCTGTAGGGGACATTTGTTTAACAAGCCAGGGCTAGACTGGCAGCTGTCACCCAAAGAACACTTTTCTTTCCCTAAACTGTGAAATGATCTTCTAGAAGACAGCCAACAGATAAAAAAATATGCTGTGTTGATTTAAAAAACCCATTAAAGACCTATCTTTTCTGGCAAGCCTTCTCAGTTGATTTTAATCTATGATTTTTAAACTGACTTTTTATATGTATTGATTTTTTTTTATTGTGTCAGAAGTGTATTGAAAATATACTGCAAGTCGTTACTGGTGTGAGAAAATTGGCGGTCTGCAATGACGTTGCCCAGGGGATGCCCGGGATGTATTACCATCCTGTGGGAGGCTTCTCTCATTCCTTGCATGAGAAGCTGGGGCTGACAGATGGGAACGCACCCCATCTAGCGGATTAGAACTACCATCCTTCAGTTCAGCCGGCGCAAGGATTTCACCCTTGTGCTACCGCAGCTTCCAAATGTATGGATGATTTCAAAGTGCAATGGTTTTAATCTTATGTTTTTAATATATGTGGTTTTTCTTATATTTGGTATTTTAATCTGTATTGTATCCCACCTTGAGTCTTGTGGTAAGTGGGTAAGAAATAATAATAATAATAATAATAATAATAATAATAATAATAATAATGGTCAGCTTGCAATCCTATGCATTCTTTTCT